ATATTATTCATTTTGTTTTCTGTTTTTTATTTGTGTATATTTTATTTTCTGTTTTATTTATTTATTTATATTATATTTTAATTAATATAAATTATTCATTTTATTTTCTGATTTGAGTTTAAAAAAAATCTAGCGATGATTGCACATGGTGACATATGGGACGGTTGTAAAAAAATTGTCGTTGGTCAACTGAACTGCACATCCTTTATTTACTTAATTAATGACACGTCGCTTTCGCTTATTTCTCACCACACCTTCATACTATTTTCCACATTTTTATCCTCATAAATATCCCATCATAATGCAAATTATCCATAAAAAATTTAAAGTTGCAAATATCATAAACATATCAGAAATTAATTAAAACATTTATTTTCAGATGTTGGTTTTATCTCTTAGTTATTTACCAAAAATGTCACTGGGTCTGTAATTTGTGAAAGGTTAAAGTGTAAAAGAAAAGTTTTTGAGTGCAGGGACTGAATCTGTAAATTTTATAAATTTGGTCTCTGTGTTTACGGACCTAGTTCAAATGCGATGACCCGGACGGGACTATCTGCAAAGCAGGTGGTTGTCTTGGGATTAGTCGGTTCGCATAGCGGGTTGAATATCCAGGTTAATAAAAAAAAAATTGTGGATCTGCTATTTAAGGACCTAGTGAGATTTTGGTGATTTTATGAGGGAAATGACTAAGAGGTGAAAACACAAGTCGAAAATTAATATTTTAATTAATTTTCTTAAACATTTTGTGTATTTGTATTTAAGTCATCAATAAACAAATAATATTATGTAAAAAAGATAAATTTAAATATTAATAATTAATATTTTTAGCAAAAAAAAATATATAGTCAAGGTGGTTTTGTTGCTAGTTACATTAGGATGATTATGAGTGTTAGTTCAAAAATAAAGATTATTATACTCATGTTCATTGTAGATAGCTGTGTTCATATATTGGGTTGATCGAGTTGAATACATTTGAACAACTCAATTTAATGTTTGTGGTCTGAAAAATCTTAATCCAACCAAACTAAAACCGTACGGGTTGGTCGAGTTGATATTTTGGTACATTAAAATATTTTTCTAATCTTGAATATGTTATTTATCTACTCATAATTTATTTTATATTATCAAACCATTTGATACAACTTATCCAAACTTCTTAGATCTTATGTATATCACA